CAGGTACAATAATTGTTACCATTTACTGCACTTTTATACCCTAATGGACTTTGCTCACTCGGAAAGATTGGAAACCGTGAGCGAGCACACTGCGTCTCTCTTTCTCTTTAGAAACGGGAACTGTATATTTGTAAATACTGTACAAACATTTGATACATTTTTCACCTTTTAGAGAGATTTGTTTTTATCATTTTGAAAGATTTTGTTTTGAAAGCATATAATATATAGTTTGGATTTATCAAGCTGGTTCTTAGTAATTTGTCTAAAAAAATTCATTGGAATTAAAAAAGAAAACCAACATGTATTGCCCTTGTTTTTTGTCAGTTTTGAGCATGAATGATTTTATGAGCGTTTATAATAATAGTAAATATAACTTTCTAATGGGTTCACAAGGAAATGCCACCTGCTGAGATGCAATAAGGAAATTGCTTGCAGCTTATAACATTAAGCGAGCAATAGGACTATTAAGAAGTCCATTTTTTTTGCACAGGCTGCTTCATTATAAATTTGTCATTGTAGTTGAAATATTTAGTTGAATTAAATGTCTCGTGGAAAATAACCACTTGTATTACAGCTACACACTCAGTTTGTTTTTCATCACTTCAGAGAATTACTATTCTCAGGAGAACAAGCGGCTTGTCGTCAATCATGCATGGAGTGTAAAACCAGAGGAACATGTTTTGAAGAGCACATGAGACACTCCCCTAAAGATAAGCAATCAGTCATCTGTGTACATAATGAGGTAAGAACAGATCATGTGGCTGGCTGGCTTTTTATGCGACACCTTTGATAAATATACACAATGCACTTATTTCAGTTTACACTTAGAAACATTATTTAAAATGCATTAAATTAGATTAGTTTGTGCCCTCTAACCTACATCCTTCACTTGTATATAAACAAAGCCACTGTCATTCTCACAAAATATATCTTCAAAATAATGCAAGACTACTATATTTCAATCTAAAATGTTTGGGGGTTTTTTTCAGTGGAAAAATCATCTACAATTATATAAAATATTTTATGATGTTTATTGTTCTCAGTTTATGCCTTTTTTGCAAGGTGATTTTCAAAACTATTACAGTAATTAAATTTTTTTCACATTTAAAATGATTCAAAACATTTTGTTCTAGTCATTTTCTTTGCGCAACATTATTGTTCCTGTTGTCTTTTGATTTTACAGCTCTTGAAGTAATTTGTCTGTCCTCACCTTGGCCGCTGCTCTTGGCTCAGAGAGATACAGGGTCTTTGTTCTGAAGGACTGTGTCCCAGGGCTGTCCACCCTACACTGCTCCTGAAGTATGCTGCAGCTGTAACCTCCCCTTGCTCCTGAAGCCACCAGCTGTACAAAGATATCAGCCAGGTCATCCACAGCTGACTCCAAACCCAAGCAAACAATGGCCGTCTATTAGTCCTTCATGAACACACTCACTCCTTCCAGTTGTCAAGTGGGTTTGTGGTTCCGTTACGCACATACTTCAACTTCACAGTATATAGACAAAATATTGTTGTAAAACGGTCATCTGACTATTACTAAGTGGTGTTTTATTTACCTAGTTTTTCCAAAGTGTCAGTGTATAAATGAGCCTGTTTTACCACACAACTTCTCATCTAAAACCACTTCATTTAAATGAACACTCCACCGTTTTTTGAAATAGGGTTTATTCACAGTGTCCTCTACATTAAAATAGTTTGGCAAAAGCATTTTTTTTTCAAAGTGTATGCATTGTCTTAGTTTGGCAGCGCCGATGCTAGCTTAGCTTAGCATAATGAATGGAATCCTATGTTGCCAAGTAGCACGTCATGAGTAAAAGTGATTCTTAAGACAAAAAACAAAACACAAAACCTAATTACTTCTTGTGGCCTCCCAGACAGCAAACTGACATTGAATCAACGTGGAAACGACGTCTCTCATGACATTGAAACAACGTTGATTTGCTCATCGAATTAACATTGAACCAACGTCAGACGCGGCATTCTTCAAAGCTAAATGAAAATCGAAAATTGGTTTGCTTTCATAACGTTGAAACAACGCGTTGATTTCACGTTGATTTTCCGTTAGTTTTGAAAGAATGACGCGTCTGACGTTGGTTCAACGTTAATTCGATGAGCAAAACAATGTCAGATCAACGTTGTTTCGATGTCACATTTCCACGTTGATTCAATGTCAGTTTGCTATCTGGGCTGTGTATTCACAACGAGTACAAATAGCATTTCAAATTAAGACTAGGCGATTAAATAATCGCCTAGTCTTAATTTGAAATGATTGTGAATACTCGATGTGAACACAGTCCACAAGTAGTAATTAGGTTTGTTTTTTTTTTGTTTGTTTTTTTTAATCACTTTTACTCACGACATGCTACTTGCAACATAGGTTTCCATTCATTATGCTAAGCTAAGCTAGTGTCGGCACTGCCAAACTAAGACAATGCATGCACTTTGAAAAAAAAAAATGCTTTTGCCAAACTATTTTAATGTAGGGGACACTGTGAATAAGCCCTATTTCAAAAAACGGTGGAGTGTTCCTTTTAAGACATTTTATTCTTCACACACTTTTACTTTTGACAATAACACCCTTTAAACTTATTGCATCTTCTGTTTGTGCACTCGTACTCCAACACCTCAGTGAACTGACCAGAGAAATTTCATAGAGGTGTAAAGTTTTGCAACAATGGTCAACTTATACACCTGAAGGTCATTAGAAATGAGGTCATGTTTAACCTTTGGATGTGGGGGAGGGTAGGCGCAGAGACAAAGTCCATCAAAGATTCACTGTGGGTGTCTTTCAGAGACCCTCATAGATGAATCAGGCTCAAATCTAACTGATGTGAAGTAAATGAAAGATTTAGTAAAAAGAAGCTCAAACTGAGGAAAATGTTTCAGCAATAGACTTTATTTTAAACCAGTGTCATGGTTGATTTTTTAACAATAATGAAAGTGAGGCTGTGAGGGATAGATTAATCTCTTCAAGGTTGAATTGTTATTTAATGTGTTTTTTTTGGATTGTTCTGCTGATGAATCACTGCAAACATATTTTCCCAAGAAATTTCTGTACACAATAAAAATGGAAAATTATGTGTCCAAGGAGAATTATACAGCTTTTTACAGCGGATGTCATTAAAAACACGGTATCCCTCACAGCCTCTATGGCCATAAGTGGGTTTTGAAAAGAAAATTACCAATATAAGAGCTGTAGGATAAATTTCATATATATATATATATATATATATATATATATGGCAGTGAAGAGCTGCGCTCTCAGTTTTCTGATTTTGGATGTGTCACCTGCACAAAGGTGAAGAACAACTGGAGATTGGGTTACGTTTTTGTGACCTAATTCCTCAATAGACGATGCCATTATAGCTATTTCATTTATGAATGGCTTTATTGTCTGCAACCTGCCATTGAAGTTTGCTTTCTCCTAGAGAGCAACTCTATCGCTAATGCTGAAAAAAAAAAAAAAATGATAAGAAAACTCTTTCCCGGTGCAAGAAGAAAAACTTGGGCCTAGTAACAACAAACCACTCAATATAAGAAAATCCTTAGTTATAATTATAAAATTAATAAGCTCTTAACAACCACCTGTTGAAGCTTATATATTGAAGAAAAAAAAATCTGAAACCAATCCCTTCTGATGCTGCAAAAAAGAACCCGGCTACCCTGCTGCTAAAAAAGAAAGAATTCTGAACCTTTTCCTGGCTACAAAAAAAAAAAAAAAAAAAAAAGCTATTTTGCTCAGCATTTTAAAAGGCTCAGATTTGGGTCTGTTTTTAAATGTAAACACATGGAAGTGAAGTTGCTGATTCAGCAGGAACCCAGCATGATTTACTGCAGGTAAGTTTGCAGAGATGTTGCGAGACGCTCTGAAATACAGAATGACAGTGTTATTTAGATGTTGGAAAACGGTTCATAGTTCCTGTCAATATTTTACAGTTTAAAGACTCTTCACTAAAGTTCAGTCATTCTGAGAGTCTGTAATGAGAGACAGCTGTTGAAGTGTTATGGGATACTTTGCTCAGTCGTATCTATTGTTCGGTGCACTCCGTTTCGTTTCTTTTCTCTTTCAAATTTTTCCACATTTAAAGAAGTAAATGGTTTTGTAAAACATGTTTAAGGTCATGTACACTTGAAGGAGATAAAAACTTCAGTGATATCAGTATCCTAATAAAAGCTGGATTATTTTACACGGACCAGGTTGCATGGGGCCCAGCGGCGTTGAGATCACATGATCGGCTTCCAGAGGTGGACAAAGTCCACAACTTGAAAGTACAGATACTAGTGGTCAAGTAAAAGTTGTAAGGACTGATTTTTACTGAAGTATAGAAGTAGCCTACTAGATTTTAAAAGTACTATCGAAAGTAAATGTCAATGCATTGTTTTATTATTGTTGTATGTAATACTTTTTGCCTCTGAATGCCTGCCCACCGTCATATCAATATCAAATTTAATTTTAGAACACATTTCTTGTGGGATTGAATGTGAGATTGAATAAGTGCACTCAATAATGTCCACAATGGTTCCCTCAAATAGTGCCCTATTTAAAGTTTTTTGGCTTTTAGTATGAATATGTTAGCCTTACTGTCTATAAGCAAGTGTGCTCCAAAACAATGACAAAATTCGCTTTTGGAACACTATTTTGATTTTGGAACAAATTGATTATGGCTGATCGTGAAAAGTGCATTTCAGAAATCAGCACAACATAAATAATACAATTGCTGAGTGCATCTTTTACCACATCATTTTCCAAATGTTTCCAAATTCACCAACATGTTCAAAATTGTTGTCCTTATCCCTGAAGCATGTTTTATTAGAAACCTTTTTTTTATCCAGTTAACACGTCGGAAGGCATTTTATTTATTTTTATTATCATTTTTTTTCACACATTTACAAAATATAGTTTTAGAAAAATAGATTTTAAAAACCTGATATAGTTTACCATTTTTAAATGAAAATAGCCAGAAGCTAGCATGGCATTAAAACAAGCAAACCACAGCAATTAATTTGATGTCAATGTAAATCGAACTTTATTTAAAAATAACACATGATGGTACCAAAATGTGACTTTATTAAACCTTTATGCATAGATTTTGGAGTAGCATCACACAAAATTCAACTATGACTTATTTTACCTAATAGGTCACAACAAAACAATAAGCTATGAAAGGTGGTGCATTACAGTAATTTTCCAAATGTAAGGGTTGATCTTAGCATGATACAAAAAAAACAAAAAAAAAAACAGGCAAAATATTCCTATGGTAAAATCATTGTAATGCAGAACTCAAATTGCTTATTCCCTTCACAACACATCTACAACAGTAATATGTTAAAAGACATCAATCTTCAATTAAGTTCACATCACCAACAAATTATCATTAATTATAGCTCATTATAACATGACTCAGTCGCTATTAATTTTAGTCAAGACCATGCAATCTTTTATTCATTTAATTCCAGTTATCATCATCACACTGCAGGAAAATTGGAGATATTAGATCTTATAAACCTGATGACATCTTGTTATGTAATACTTTACATTTTCTTAATGTAACAATGAACGCATTTTGAAAGAAAAGAATACAAACACTTTCTATAAGCACTTATGACACATTACCCAACAGGTTACAGGGAAAAAAAGAACCTTTGAAAAACAAGTTGAACTGCACCCCCTTACATTTGACATGAGACAAACAAAAACATCATAAAACACACTTTTTTCAATACAATTTGTTCATCCCTTTACAGAAAAATACAGAGAAAATAATACTTTTTCTTTTTGCCAATTATGTATGTTGGAAGAAACAGAGTGGATTTCACAGATTGTACCAGCTGAAACAGTTCCTTCAAGCATTGGTGAGAAACAGAGAGTCCCTATCGAGAGAGATCATTCTTCAGTTTGCTCTCCAGAATGTCTTGAATTTTACAGAGGTTCTCTTCTTGTTGACCCAGTGCTTCAAGTATGATTCCCATGGGTGATTTCTTGAGTCCAGCACTCTCCATCTTATTCTCCAGTTTGTTTTTCATGTTCCGTAGGCGAAGCGATGCATGTGCAAAAATCACTGAAACGAAAAATGACAGAGCACTTTAAACCTCCAGATGGTCGGTTGCATGTCAAAAACGTTTAAATGACAATAGTTTTTAATAAACTGCTGTGATTTTTTTTCTTTTCACAACTTAGGAATGCCTAATCCCTAATGCATTCCATCTAATTTCCATTGAAAGAAACATTTGAAATGAACTTTTTTTCCTCCTTTCATTTTCGCTAACAATAGATCTATGGTGATGATACATTTCTTAAGAAACTTACACAGAAGTGGGAGTTTGATTCCAAGCAGGAATACCATAACTCCACCGAAGAGCGACATAAGGAAGTAGCTCACGACCATCACCAGGAAAACAAACAAGGTAGGGTTCTCCTTCTTGAAATTTTTAATGATTGCCTTGTTCTCCCCTGCCCACACAGAGCCGACGAAGACAGAAGTGACCACTATTGCTCCTGTGAACATGCTCACGGGGTTCATCAACCTGTGGACAGAGAATTGAATGGTGACAGCACATTATTGAGGCCAAAACTGTGGTGATTATACTACAGTTCACTAGTGTTATTTTTCAGTTCAGTTACTTTTTCAACTAATGCTTCAATGTCTCCTTTAAAATAAGCATTGTACACATTTAATATTCCCTTAGTTCTCACAAAACGCTCAATTAAATTTGTCCTGCCTTCTAGCTTTGTGAGAATACAAGCATACGTCAATGGTGACACCTAATGGCTATTAAGTGTAAACACAAAATATTGCTGACAAAAGGAGGCATTTCCATGTTGGTCTGAAAAGAAATAAAACAACGAATAAACTTGTCAGTTAAATAATAAACTGAACTTTAATACATTAAAATAGACAGCCACTTTATTACTGTGAAATGAGTTGTTAAATACTGGCCTTTGCTCATGGTGTCATGTGATTACACCTTAAGTTCATTCTTAGCAACTAACTATAATAATAGAGCCAAACCACAATCTCCCAGACATTACACTGGCATTCATCTTACAAAAACAGCTGCCCACATATCACTAACAATCTACGAACTATATTTAGGAAGAAATTACTTCATGTTCTAATTTTGACAGGAGGGGAATTTTTTTTACCGTAATATCAGGGGGGGGATATGGATATTTGTTAGGAGTTTAACGTAGCTTATTTTTTCAGCACGACATGAAATTTCCTTTCAAAACAGTACAGAAGTTTACCAATGGTGGTTTCATGATATCAACTGAAATATTGCAAATTTCATGTACTGATGTAGCATGTCAAGATGGTATCCAAAAAAAAAATCGGAATTATCATATTAGCCTACCATTTAAAACGCATTTAAAGTTAAGTTTATCAGAACATGAGAATTTACCATAGATTTACAGTTAAGTGTTTCGCGATACTTTCTGTAATGCGATAGTGTTGACATATCCAAGACAAGTTCGAATTAAATAACGTTACTTGAAATATTATAATAGTCTAATAGTAAGAAATATCTGTTTAGAGTTAAATACAATATGCTCGATCAAATTAAAGAACAAGACTAACGTTACTGGACTTACCCTACAAGCACGAATACAATGATTGCCACCACCAGATAGTTTGTTTGATAATAGAGGAGGTTGCTGACCACTCTGTTGTTCCATTTTGCCAAATCTCGCGTGTCTGGTTTGGCAAAGCGCTCCGAGCCTGGATAGAAATCATCCCAGCCTCTCAAAGGGGCGATCTCCACTTTAGCCATTAAAACCGAATAACCGGATACACTCAAGATACACTGGCAGCTGCTCACAGCTTATGCACTTCCTCACTCTCGCGATGCGCTTTGGCTTTAAATGGGCGGTTACTTCAAGTGTAAACAAACCATCATGTTTGAACATTCAGGACTTAATGCAATCATCGCAAATCATTATATGTCTGATCTCATGCTAATCGCATACAGTTTACGGTTATGTATTGTCTGATTTAATTAACAAGTAAATTTAATTCGCGAACGAACGATTCTCCTGAGTCGGATCTTTTAAATGAATGATTCAGCTGAACCAGGAATCGTTTTTTCGTGGTTGATATATCCGATTCGTGATAAACCGACAAACCTTGAGTGAGTGAGCTCAAGATAAGAATTTGTGCTGTATTGATTTAAAGCTATTCTACTCACTGTTCATCATTCAACAAAAAACTGTTCTCTTGATGAAAAGAAACAATACCTCCTGATAATCTCCTTATGGTAATTTATTTATTGCTTTAGGTGTTTTATTTTTAGCAGACTATCCCTGATCTTGCTTGCAAATATATTTTAGTGCCTTATTGCTTCAATTCAAGTGTCTTAACTTGTTTTCTATCTTTGTTGTATCCCCAAATATGCTCAATAAAAAGTTAAGGGAAAAAAATTGTAGTTTACGTGGGACTTGACTGATAAACATTCAAATTTTCTGCCAAGAGATGTAAATAGATTTTATATTACTAAAGGCAGCATGTTGGCTGGGAGCATAAAAAAATGGAAATAAACCATTTTCATTGGTTGGTAGTGTTATTACGTACCTATCCCGGAAACGTATATCACATGACCACGCCCCTTTGCGAATATCTGTCATGGCTGCTCACGGTAGAAGTAAAACGAGTAAAACTATGGATATGCTAAAATAGCATCTGTTGCTTTCCTCGGGTGAATAAATATGAAGTATTTTATGTTACGTTTGAGACATTTATAGCTCCTTTTAGTAACTGCCTTTGTTGTCTTTAGGTATGTGGGCTAAATTATTCCTTAGCCCCAGGTTTATCAACCGAGTTCATCTCACGTGGAGTCACAGATCATTGATCACAATGCAACTGAAAACTAAAGAGTTCGAGTCTCTATTTACCGACGGGCTGGTTGGTCTAGCTGGTAAGCTTACTTTATCTTAACCCATCATCACCCCGTCCCTTTCTTTCTTTTCTTTTTTTTTTTAACTGCAGTGGTGATATACCCACTTCATCATTCTTACTTTGATATGAACTAGCGAGAAGTTGGACGCTCTTACTCATTTTTTCACATTTTAGAATAATAAAGTCACCAAAACAAAAGTATTTTGCATGTTATGAGGTACATTCAGTCAGACGTGTCAACTTGAATGGTTACCATTCATGTTCAATGCTGTTTACTTTTATACTACCAAGGAACATGTCCAAAAAAGCATTGTCTTTATTACGATATATAGAAATATTTGAAAAGAACCAGTTTGAGCTGAGGATTGCAGGAGGGGCGGTGCGGGACCTTCTGTCAGGGAACCGGCCCGAAGATGTAGATTTTGCCACCACAGCCACTCCAGAGGAAATGAAGAGCATGTTCCAGACAGCAGGAGTCAGGATGATAAACAATAAAGGAGAGAAACATGGGACCATTACTGCCAGGGTAAGGTGAAAAATTGTATATATATATATTCCTCAAACATTTTACGTTTTGCTAAACCTCTTACACAGTTATTATACTTTTTTGCAGTGGGTTTAGGTGATCAATTTTGGTTTGTGAGAATTTTCCACATTAAAATTAGTTAAAGTCATGACTACAAACTGAAACATGCCACTTTATACATTATGCAGCTTCATAACGAAAACTTTGAAGTGACCACTTTGCGAGTGGATGTGCAGACAGATGGGCGGCATGCAGAGGTGGAGTTTACCACTGACTGGCAGAAGGATGCAGAGCGCAGAGATCTCACCATCAACTCCATGTTTCTTGGTAAAACAGAAGGAGTTCCCAATGAGACATTTCACCTCGCAATTTAATTAATGAATTTCTCATTAATTTGATGTTGACTTTCTCAGGATTTGGAATTGTGTTTTTACAGGGCTGGATGGGACTCTATATGATTATTTCAAAGGACACGAGGACCTCAAGAACAGGAAAGTAAAGTTTGTCGGCAGTGCCTCACTACGGATCCAAGAGGACTACCTTCGAATTTTGAGATATTTCAGGTAATTATGCACTATTACAGTAATTTGACCAAAAGAATTTGAATGAAATGCATGTTTAGAATTATATGAAGGTGAATAAATTATTACAGAGTTAATCTTTATATCTTCGGTAGATTCTATGGGCGGGTGGCTGCTGAGCCTGGGCAACATGAATCTGAGACTCTGAATGCAATAAGAGAGAATGCCAAAGGATTGGCTGTTATCTCAGGTGAGAGGATCTGGGTGGAGCTGAAGAAGATGCTGGTTGGAAACCATGCTGGCCACCTCCTGGAGCTTGTCTATGAGTTGGGCCTAGCCCAGTACACAGGTGAGAAACTGAAAAATACAGATATTTGTTAGGAATTGTGCCTGGACACTACATATACAGTGATGATTAATGACCTGCCTCTATCTATCTATTTCTATCTATCTATCTATCTATCCCAAATCAAGAAAAGTTGGGACATTTTTTTAAAATGCAATAACAAAAAGATTTTCAATATTTTCACTGAACAACTTAATTTTATTTTGTTAATATAATCAAATTTAGATTTTGATGGCAACAGAACACTCTTGTACCTTCACACGCATCCAAGTCACCCGTGCCATTTGCACTGATGCACCTGCTGATGAAATTCTGAATGGTTCATTTCGTCTTTGGGATTGAACTCAATGTCCATTTCCCCCCAAAGCAAGCTGAAACGTGGATTCATCTGACCATTTCCACTGTGATTTGGATCATTGGAGATCAGCTCGGGCCTCGTCGGCATCTCTGCTTGAACTTATGTATTGATTTTCCAAAAATCAATTTTCCAAAGAACTCCCGAGCCCATGTGGCTATATTAAACAGAGTAGCATGGTGGTTTCTCATGCAATGCCACCTGGGTCCTCAAAGGTCATGTACATTCAACAGCTGTTTCCTGCCTTGCACTACATGTACTACAAGATTTCCCTGGATTCCCCTGGATTGAAGTCTTTTCACAATATTATGTATGGTAGATGGTGAAAGACCTAAATTCTTTGCAGTCTTGCATTGAGAAATGTGATTTTTGAATTGTTTGACAATTTTCTCTTGATATTTGGCACAAAGTGATGAACCATGACCTATCTTTGCTTGCAAAGATTGAGAGTCACGACACCCTCACCGATTACCGTATCGTGGACTATTTCAAAAGAGATTAACTTGGATTTTCTAGAAGCTTTCCACTTTTATTTTGCCTCTGTTCCAAGTCTAGTCTACTGTCTAGCTGCCATCAAAATGTGTTTATATTTACAAAATACAATAGATTTAATGTTGGACTTAATATATAAAAGTTCAATATTTTTTGCAAATATTCTGACTTGCTGTGTGTTTCCCTGCAGGTCTTCCAGCAGATGGCAATGTTGGAGAGATGAAGCAGGTCTGGCAGAGGGCTCACGACAGCTCTCCTAAACCCATGACTATCCTGGCTGCTCTGTTCCGAAGCCAGGAGGATGTGGAGAAACTGGATCTGCGACTGAAGCTGTCCAGAGAAGAGAAAAACCTGGGCCTGTTCCTGGTCAAACACAGACAAGATCTCGTTAAGGGACAGGATCAACATGACAGCATGAAACCATACACAGATTTCATAATTGATGTATGTACATTTCTTCCCTGGGTTCCCTCTCTAATGTTTACTACCAAAAAATCAGTTGTTGTACATTGATTTATTCCTTTTAAAGCATTTTCACATTCAAAACACATATGTGTCACTCAAACAGTAAGAAGACACACTTTATCCCCATAATCATTAAGACTCATTCGCAAAGGCCCAGTGACTCATATTCTGCTTACTAGTTTTACTTTTACGCATTTCATTCCTGATTTTGTTATACTATTATATTATGCATTGATATTTTTAATTAGCTTTTAATTTTTTAGAAATTGAGTTTAAATCTATTTAGATCTATTAAATCTGTTTAGTTTAAATTTTTCTGTTTATTTTAGTGTTTTACGTTTTTTTTTACATTTTTTTTTTTCATTTAATATTTTTATTTTATTTCATATTCATTTATTTCAGTTACGGCAAACGATTTTTAATAGTTTTGGTTAATTACAACGCTGATTTTTTTCAGATCTTTATTTCCACATTATATAGTTTTTATTTATTATAAAAAAATATGTATAAATAGCGATGCTATATACTATATAATAACTATTTTAATATTATATATACTTTTATACTATGGTCTGTCTGAATACTCTATGCTGATTGGCTGGAAGGTGTGCAATAAAACCTTTTAATGTACAGGAAGTTTAATCACCGGTCTATATTAATGCGCTGTTTTCATTTAAGCGTGGACACGCATACAGAACGTCACTCACGCTGCGCACACAGAAACATTCAGGAGCACAGAAACTTATCAGCGCTGCCCCGTGACTTTTATTAATAAAATAGCTTGGCTGAATCTCGCTACATTATATTTCTGAAGTATCACAGCGCCGTTGTTAATAGAGAGAGAGAGAGACACTGAACCGACGCATGTACGCTACTTCCTCTTTCGATTATTAATTCAGACGAATGCTATAATTCATTCAAATAAATGTTATCTTAAGCACTACTTTACCTCTATGTCTTCAAAGCAGGCAGAGTGCTAGATCTAATGAGCTGTAACTGACGGAAATAACCATCAATTTTACCCTTCCAGTCAAATAGTGTGCTTCAAACATCAATAACAGCTTTAAGCTTTGCTTCTGGCGGTACTTTGCCTCCACAAAATCGTTTAATGCACTGCTAGCCATGGATTATCCCTTACATATAAATATATAAATATACAATGAACATATAAAAATATATAATTTTTTCCCCCTCCATTGCAGTCTCGAGAGCCAGAAACCCAGAGTAAAGTGCTGGAGCTTCTGAAGTATCAGGGAGAATATAAACTTTTAGATGAGCTGAGACGGTGGTCCATCCCCCGCTTCCCGGTGAATGGGCATGACTTACGCAAGCTGGGCATTACCTCGGGTAAAGAGATTGGCACCATCCTTCTGGAGCTTAGGGACACGTGGAAGAAGAGCCGCTATCAGATGAGCAAAGAGGAACTTCTGGCCACTCTCAGCAGATCCTGATGTCAGATAAGGAAACACACTAATGTCAGAAGTGCTACTGACTTTGCATGCATGTTCTATAATGCATTATGAGTCTGTGTACAGAAGGTGCACCTCCATAGTGTCAACGAATAGTGTGGAGGGACCATCAGGTCTGCATGGGGCACTTATAAACCCTTATTATTTTTGTCCTGTGGCTTTGCAGAATCAATGCTACCAAAAGCTGAGGAATATCTATGGTGTTGCTATCTGTGCAATTTGTAATGGCTATGTTTTTGGGAACATGCAGAAAATATCAAAGCGATCTTAGAATGTTAAACATCATAAACACTTCCCTATCGTTTTCCTTTTATAAATGATGATTTATTTTGACATAATATCGTTCATTTATTCATTAATATACTTGGTTTGAACAAGGATGCGTCTAAATTGAATGACACAATGCAGTTTCATTTCAGATTAGTTTTTTTGATGTGGGATTTGTCCCTTTCAGAAGAGTGAAGTGGTGTAATTAGTGAACTGTAATTATTATAGAAAAGAAAGTAATTTAACTGTCCTCGAGAGATAACATCTTCTCATTTATGAAGCCGTAGCCATGGTTTCATTATGAGAAAAAATGATATTCCTTTTGTCAACAGTTTATAGTTATTAGATGGTTATGTAACCAACTCTCAAGGTGTTTACTTTGAAATAAAGTAGCACACGTATTACAGTGTCGAGGTGTCTTGCTTTAAGTCCATGGATTGTAATCTGTAATGGTTTGATATATACATCTCGGGTGGGCGATATGACCAAAACCTTAAATCACGATACAAGTAATTTTATTTCACTATAATGATATATATCACAATATAGTTATTTTTGCTTTAAATAAGGTTTTTATGATATCAAAATGTATTGATACCAATTAAATTATGTATAATTCTTGTCACCGTTTTCAATATAACAAAAAACTAATACTAGCCTAAGTAAAAATAATCTCAAACTTACTGAAGCCAATGAAACCGTGATAAGGAAAGAACAAAGAAATGAATTACAAGCATATAGGAAAACAAACTACAATAGAGCAAAGACACAAATGAGCACTACCCATAAGCTTTTGTGACAACGTTGCAAGGCAAAATAATAGTTCAAAATCTCTAACGTTTGACAAATTTCTACCGGTTCATCATGTCTACTGGTACATCTGTGTTGGGATCAATTTGAACCCTATTTGAATTTCAACTGTTTGAAACACTGTTAACTATTTTTGAAATGTAGTGAATATTTTTTCATTTAGGGTCTTTTAATATGCATGCAAAGTTACATCCCAGGTGTGTTTTTGGAAAGGCTTCACAAATTTTGGTACATTTGTGTCTGTTGGGGTAATATTGACCCCCTAAAATATCAAAATTTTAAAAACAGCTCACTAGAAATACGTTATTGTAGCTTGTCAAACAATAAAATATGGAATGCATGAACGAATGACATTTTAAGACTCAAAGTTTACTCTAAATTGAAGATTTATTTGTTTTTATTGTACAGACAATATGCTTTTTGGTTATTCGTTGTTTTGGATCTCAGTTACTACTGAAAACCCCATTTTATCCGTGTAAGGGTTTAAGAATCAATCGACTGAGAAAGCTACTATTTATACTTGTAGTTATTTGCACCTCAGTGAGTGTGCCAATAGTCACCACAAGTAGTCATAACAAAATCGTCTTTATTTATTTAGTTTATTCAGCAAAATTTTTAACATCAATAATGTAGGGTCAAACTGACCCTAAACACAATATGAATAGCTAATACAATAGAAATAAATGGGTATTATTCAATTTCTCACATAATTTCTGTTTTATGTTAGTCTCTGGAGGTTTTTTGTTTTTCTGTTTTTCATAGTGACGATTTTTGGCAAACTGCATGGAAACAAGAGTAAAATCAGACTCGATATATTTTGAAGACTTATTTATAAAGTGAAACTGTCTTAGAGTGAGTGTCTTTGTCTTCATATTTTCATCATGCAGATTTCTGAATGCCATTTTGTGTTGATGAGTAGTTTTGAATGAAGGACCCACCCTCCATCCCATTCAGTAGACCCAGGTATAAAACCTCAAGTCTTTACTCACACGCGCAGACGCGTGACTGACAGTCGTGCACAGGGTTAATTGGACCGCAGGTTCTGAACTTGAATTATTTTTAAGACTCTACAAATATTAAGATAATGTCTCTCTTCACAATTAACTTAACCAATTTAACTTTAGAGATGGAAGTCACTGGAGATGATGAACCCCGGAACGAGCGCTTGGCTCAAATCGAGATCGCGCTGCTGAGCGTCATCTTTCTCTGCGCATCATCTCTGAACTTCGGTCTGCTGCTGCTTCTGTGGAGGAAGAGACAGCAGGTGTCCAGGATGCGTGTGTTTGTGACCCATCTCTGCTTGGCAGACCTGGTGGTTGCTTTCTTCCAGGTGTGCCCTCAGCTGATGTGGGACATAACTGACCGTTTCATCGGTCCTGATCTCGTATGTCGTGTGGTCAAGTATCTACAGATCGTCGGCATGTTTGCCTCCACTTACCTGATAGTTGTGATGACGGTGGACCGTTATCAGGCGATCTGCAACCCCATGGTGACTTTCCAGAGGAGGCGCGCGCGCTGGAACGTGCCCGTGTGCGTCGCGTGGCTTGCGTCGTTTGTCTTCAGCGTCCCGCAACTGTTTATTTTCTCCAGGGTTGAAATCGCCCCGGGTGTCTACGACTGCTGGGCCGAGTTTATTCAGCCGTGGGGACCGAAAGCGTATGTGACGTGGACGACACTGGTGATATTTCTGGTGCCCATCGTAACTGTGATGGTGTGCCAGGTGCGCATCTGCCGCGCGCTCCAGACAAACCTGTACCTGAAGACGCTTCAGCAACAGCAGCAGGGAGGTGATGGTCTCCCGAACTGTCTTTCCTCCAGAGCCAGCAACGTGGTGTTTGTGTCCAAGTCTCGGATTAGGACCGTGAAGATGACAGTGGTGATCGTGCTCGCCTACACCGTGTGCTGGGCTCCGTTCTTCACCGTGCAGCTCTGGTCTGTGTGGGACACCGACGCTCCGACTGAGAGTAAGAGAAATTCTTCTAGCAATGACGTTTTGGTCATTACGTGTTTATAAATTACAAATGCTATCTTAATATAAAGGTTAAAATGCTCGATAATAGTTGTCTACAAGAATAGGGTGTGACAGGTTGATTTTGGAAATAAAAGTGAATACAAATATTTCTACAGTTGTCAATAACCATGCAGTTTTAGAGCCATTTTTTGTATTTAAGTGTTTTAGTATGTTTTATAATTTTAAAAGAAGTATCTTAGATTTTCACCAAGGCTGCATTTTTTTGTTTGTTCATAAATTCAGTAAACATAGTAGCTGATAGTGGCTAATATTGTCAAATATTATTTTAAAATAACTGTTTTCTGAAGGATCATGTGACCCTGAAGAGTAACAGCTGCTGAAAATTCAGCTTTGCCATCTAAGAAATAAATGATATTTTAAAATGTATTCAAATAATGATATAATAATTGCTATTTCACAATATTAGCCTTCTGTTTTGAATAACACTTTATTATATTCATTTTATGATAACAATACAGATCGTTTCAAAGCAACTTTACAGAAAATGCATGTTTCTACATTACAATTTAATTTGTTATCATAGATTATATTGTCCATATGAAGTATAGAGTTCTAAGGTACAATAAATCATGTAGTTAGCTAGCATCATGTAATTTAAGCAAAAAACATGATATTATTAAAGCAATATTAGTTGTGATGTAATGATTATATATATAATTTGTCAGATTCAGAGTGAACATCATCTGAAGTCCTCGCAGGGGTTGGCTATATTATATAATTACATGATGTATTGACTTCTCACATTAAAATTGTTTAAATTTGCCTACTTATGGAGATGTCACCCCTTGTAACTTTTTAATTGGTTAAGATGATGGAAGATGTTCCAACTTACCCCATGTTGCACTCCACACTCTTCCTTACGTGTAACACACAGCACTGCTAAATCATGTTTAAGGGCATTTATTGAGAATGTTATCCAATGTAATTACTTGTATCTAACCAATAATATTATCAATTGTATTTTTCAGCTGCAATCTTCACCATCCTCATGTTGCTAGCCAGTCTGAACAGTGTTGCCAATCCATGTATCTACCTGCTTTTCACTGTGAAGTTCCCCAAACTGTTGCAAACTCTCCTGTGCATGAAACACACAGACATGAAGGTGCCGCTGCCTGAGGAGACTACGATGGTCAGCTCTCTGTATTTGAGCTTTAAAAACTCTGACACGCAGTGAAAAAGAAACAACACTACAAACATTCTTTGAAGTACCATGTAAATTGTACATTAATGTGCTAAGTGTTCAGTACCATATACTGTAAATGTCAAAGTACCATGATTTTACCATCTGACATGATCACTGTACCATGCTACTAGCACATTACATTTATGTAAAGATAAAAATGAAACCCGCTTGACTCATTGGAGTCTCCATGTACTGAAGCATTTCAAACAATGTTCAACACCAATTATGCCCCCATTTACCTTCCCCTCTTATAGTATGTTGTTCTATCATTTCTTTTAACTGTACATAACAAGCAGGAAAATTGCTCAGTGTGTGCTGTCCTAATCATAATCAAAATAATGTACAAAACATAGTGTCTTTAAATACTGACAAAAATATCCATTTGACTATTAGTGTAGTGGGTGATGTTATTAAAATGCCTGTACAGAACATTCTCACTGTTGTCAATAAAGTGCTTTAAAAATGAAATATTTGGCATTGAAATCAGTTCTTACATGAAGTATACACAGCCAAGGCGTCACCTTTGACCATGCTTCAATATTTGACGCTTTAGGCGATCCTACGGCGTCATTTAACTGACGCTAAAGGAAAGCGTCATTTAGATGACGCGGGTAGGTTTAGGTCTGGGGTAGGGGTTACACGCGATCCTAGGGCGTCATTTAACTGACGCTAAAGGGCGCCTGGTCAAAAATGCTTCCCAAGGTGTCAGTTAGGTGAGAATGCGTTGAAAGATATGTTTATTTTTATAAAGGTATGTATGTTTTACATTACGCCTCAACGGACTAACAAAATAAATAATTGTTGGGAGAAACAAATGTATTACTAACAGGTTACAGTTTAGTTGTTTTTTGTTTTTTTTGAGCTTGAGTCAGTGTATGATAAGAACTTTATATTTCTCAGGACAGGGTTTCTGTATGTCTGTGGAAAATTTGAGAAAAAAATAAATATGTATAATTAAAAATATCAAATCTTAATTTGTGTTATTTTAGTATTATTGAGATAGTATATTATATTCATATTTTAATTTTGTTTTTCTTTTTAATTTTAGTTAAAGTTTTAATAATTGTGTTCTATTTTTGTCATTTTGAATGTGTTTTTGGTCTATATTTTATTTCTAAATATGGTTTATTATTATTTTTAATTTAAATTTAGTACATCAACTTAGCTGTATTTTGTGGAAGAACATTGTTTTGGTTGTGCTTTAACACTGCATGACTGTGAACATGACCCTTCACAATAGACAATACTTTGCAACAAACTCTTTAAGACAACTATGGCAATTCATGTGTTTAATAAAATACCTTACACACCTGTTGAGTAGTAAAAATCTCTCTGTTGCTTTTACAAATTTTCAAATCCCTGAATTCTTGCCATCTCAAAAAGCAAAGCTACTGTCGATCCTCATTTTATTACAAGCTCGGTCACGTTCTCTTTATGCCAGCAGACTCTCCACTGTTCAGCGTTTTTTTTAAAATTCAAGTGATTCCCCGAGGTTGGAGATTTAGCATGCTACATGTCAAACTTTCTCGCTCATTGTGAGAAATTGATCAAATTGATATATTTAATTATATCAAGTGCTGTGAGAAAAGGCTATAGCCTATAAATCTCCACCTCCAACATCCTCACACGCAATATAGCCTAGCTGAGACTCCTCCTTTATGTGTGCAGATGTGACATAATGACTCAATATAGCCTACTAGCCGAGACTCCGAATTTATGTGTACAGATGTGACGAAATGACGCAAAGATATGCTTGAATCTCCTGTGGAAATCCACCATACCACTGGAATTAAAACAAGCTTACCACTTCGAATAGAGCGGCAAGCAGTTTTGAACACTGGCTGATTATGTATTGTTTTCAAATAAGTATTTTGGATCATTTTTAACCCCCCCAAAACAACCCGGTCTGTGTTACCCAAAAAAGCTACGGACTGCAGTTTTAAGAGTCTTAACTACCTAAATTTACATCTGTTTGCCTGTTTAGTTCTCCTCTATCTCTCAAGGAACCACATGAGCGGGTTGAGCCAAACCTTAATGCATTTTATAAGGCCCTCTGATAATTAATTTTGGAATTGTTAATCCCCCATTATGTTTTGAACGCCTTATTCCTGATTAATTTACGAATCGTATTTGTGCCAAAACCTTTTAGGGGCAGTTAAGGGAATCATGGAACTAAGAAAATTGAATCGCGGGAAAACATTTATTTCAACACTCTCCACCTCATGTAATGATAGTGGCATCGAGGTCCATTTTTTATGATCTTGTTCCGGTTTGAATTTGTAGATAGTTTGTAGATTGTAGAAGGTATAACATAGAGGGATGAATGAACAACAATGCCCAAGTAACTAATTGACGATTGTGTGGAGATATTCAGTCTAACCTTTTCAGCCACACTATGGAAGCAAAGAGGATTTATCCCAATTTATTTGAACATACTGAACTTTACAAATATCTCCAGTCTCTGGGGAAATGAAGCTTGAAGATCCAACACAGTAAAATATCATTCACATAGAGAGACATGTTGTTTGTAAGGATTAACTGAAATTGAACAAACATTTTCCTGCCTTATCAGTTGGGCTATTGAAAGTGTTTTTTGTGTACCTTAATTGTTTTTTGCTTTATGTGGGGAAAAAACACAGGTAGGCTAATAGGCCTATTTAATTTTGGAAACAAGTTGTCAATAACGCATTATTTTTTTTTTATGTCTTTTGTAGTCTTATATAATCCAGACTCTAAAAACAGCATGTGCAGAATGTTCCCATAGGGACAATCACTTCTAGGCTCCAAAATGGAGAAGCGATTTACAATTTATGTGAGAGCAGCATGAGGCACGTGTGCTGCACAACTGCTCCTGTACCGTTTTCTCTGTGTGACTCATGGATCATGTCTGCTGGGATTTCAGACCTTGGATGAAAATATGAGAAAGGGTTTCCTGTGGTTTGTTCAATAAAATGTTTCCTCCATATTGATGGTTAGTGTGACAATTGCAAGTCCTACCTAATGTCTGCAGTAGAGCTGATCTCGATTCAAACACGCACGCAATCTTATGTCTAAATGACAATGATTCATCTAAGTCCGTCACAGCAAACAAGATCTGTGCTGCATGGTGTTGCCACTGAGCCAGAGAGAGCAGTTGTCATATGAAAAAGCTTCACAAAACAGTAGGCAATTTCAACCGCACAGTATCATTGTTTCTGTGACAATCATTCAAATCATCACAAGTACTGGTAAAAACGTTTAGTTTGGATATTAAAACTAGAAATTAAATTGTTTTAAATCTAACAGTTTATGCACAACAATAAAGGCTACCATTTGGATAAGAATAAAAAGATATTCTTTGAGAATAAAAATAAACACACACATATACACAGTATATATATATATATACAGTGGGGGACGTGTCCCCCCCCCCCCCCCCCACATTTTAAAAAATGTAAATTTGTCCCCCGCACTTTTTCATAGGGGAAAAGTGTTCACGACATGTTGAGGTTTTCTCGAGCCAATGTGTATTACAATGTGATACAGATTTAAAATTCAAAGAGAAAAGATCGCCTATCTACTGTATCTACACGTGACTTGTTGCCATGGTAATCAGTCACTCGCGCTCGTGCATCACCACACGCCCGTGCTCGCACCCGCACAGAATCTATCGTCGAAGGTCGAAAGGAATTCAAAACGGCGAAAAACACTTCACACTTTTTTTTCGCAAAAAAGTCAAGAACTGTAAGTTGTAATGTGGTATCCGAATTTGGTTGCTCATTGTCATTGATGAATAACTTTGCCTAATTTTCTGCCATTATCTAACTTATTTGCTTGAATCATGCAGTGTTGTACTTGTAACATGTGTAGGCCTACATGATGTTTACCATATAATAAGGTAACACTTTACAATTAGATTAAAAAAGTTTGTAGACAAACGTTAAGTTTTCTTTAAAAAGCCTAACCAGAAAGTTTGAAGAAGTTTTAAAAGCATGAAGTTTGAATGTTTTCAAAATGAATTATAGTTTTGGTTAAGTAAGACAGACAGACAGACAGACAGACAGATAGATAGATAGATAGATAGATAGATAGATAGATAGATAGATAGATAGATAGATAGATAGATGGATAGATGGATAGATAAAAAAGGTATAATGCTTGACATTCTGTCCCCCTCACTTTTGAAATGATTGCTACGCCCCTGTATATATATATATATATATATATATATATATATATATATATATACACATTTTTAATAAAGTATTGCGAAAAAGCATTTGTTCATTTGTAAATCTTCCATCAAATCCACTTCTACATAATTCAATTTTAAATACACAAAATATTAGCTTTGCTTTTAACCCCTTTTTTTGTTCTTTTCACTTCGAATGAGCTTCGGTATTGAACTTTAACACTGGAGGTAAATATAGTTACTCAATGACACATTTGCCAGATTTTTTTCTTTGCAGTGATTACAATAGCACAACATTTGTGTTAAAAAATTAGTGTTTGAGTGTTGAATCATTGAAATGTTGTTGAAAGTGTTTAACTCAGAATGCAGCTGTTGTTTCTTTTAGCTCTCCTGAAATAATTGATGTTTTATTAACAAGGTTCGGGAGGAACACATTCTAATCAACAATCCAGTCATTCCAACCAGCTGTGAGTAATCAGTAATCAACAGGTCCACTCAATCAACATTAGTAAAGCCTATAAATATACACAGTCGACTCACCCTAGTTCTTGACAGTTTTCTGATTATTTTCCTAAACAGAGATATGAGTACTCTGGGTTTGTGTAACCCCTCACACCCGGGTCCTCCGGCGTGAGAGTCAGGCGCTCTAGCAAGGAGGCTAAAGACTGCAGCCCCTAGCGTCTGTCGCTAGAGCGCCTATTGAGATCGGGGAGTGAGGTTTACTCGCACAGCAACTACTAGCTGGCCTCCGTTACACTCACCCCCCTAAACCTCACTCTCATCCGGGTCACGGCACCAATGTAACCCCTCACACCCGGGTCCTCCGGCGTGAGAGTCAGGCGCTCTAGCAAGGAGGCTAAAGACTGCAGCCCCTAGCGTCTGTCGCTAGAGCGCCTATTGAGATCGGGGAGTGAGGTTTACTCGCACAGCAACTACTAGCTGGCCTCCGTTACATTTGGGCCCAATTTCTGAGCTCGGAGCCCTCTCCCGCAAACAGCACGCCAAATATGCATCCACGGGAATTCGTACGAATTTTACGAGGTGGCTAATTCGTAACAATTCGTACGACCTCACTAGTACGAATTAGTACGATTTTGCTAAATCGTACATATTTTACGAATTAGCCAATTCGTATGAATTCGTATGAATGACCTACCCCTGACCCCGCCCCTAAACATAACCGTCACGTGGTTAAAGACAAATCGTACAAATTATCTTCACTTGTGATTTTCAGAACACAAACAAAACACAAAGAACAAATTAGACGCTTGCTGTGTTTGAAGAGATAGAAAAGTATTTTGAGATGTACTATCGAGAATAACCAGACTGGAACAAACCTATTGTAAAAGGAAACCACTGGAGGTAAGTGTATA